GGGGCTCTGTGGGGATGGCAGTCAGTGGGGTGGGCACACACCCCGTGCACCCTGCCCCTCCTGCCCCCCTGCCCAGCACAGCCCATCCCCAGGAGCCCCCCTGGGGGCATCCAGCTCCCTGCCACCCAGCCTGAGGGAGCCCTGCTGCCCCTTGTGCTGTCCATCACTCTTGGGATGACATCCCTTCCCCCTGGGGTGGGGGCAGATGCTGCCCAGGCCCTGCCCTCATAGACCCCTGGGCAGCCCACCCTCCCGGGGGTACCTGGTCCTTGAGCTCCTCCAGTCCCAGTGTGGCGATGCTGCCTGAACGCAGGCCCCGGCTCACCCTGTCCCGGATCACCTGGGTGCAGATGGGGGAGTCAGCCCTGGACCCACACACAGGTGGAACCCCATGTGTGGGCACCTTGGTCTGCATGGACCTGCCACCTGCTCCCCTGCCTGCCTGGGGAGCACAGGGCTGACAGTGGGGACAGCACCTCTGCCTGCCACCCTCCCCATCCTCGAGTCACCAAGGGATGCTGGGGGGGCCCATCCTCCTCCCACTGCCTGCTGCTGGGCATTCCTCGATTTGGGGGCTGTATTAGCCCTCTGGAGTGTTCATACACAGCACCCCCTCCCGGGGATCCCTGCCCCTGCTCTGCATCTCGCCCTCTCCCACCACCAAGACATAGCCCCGAAGGCTCAGCACACCTCGTAGACATAGTCCAGGATCTCCAGGATGGTGAGGATGCTGGCACCGATGAACAGGCCCATCTGCCCCCCGATGTCTCCTGGGGAGGAGGAGGGAAAGATGGTCACCGGGAGATGCTGTGCAGCCTGCTGGGAGTCTGGGGTGGGCCAGCGGGGCTGCAGGCAGTGCCAGGGCTGCTGGACAGAGGGGGACAACGCAGTCACGGGGCCAGGAGCAGGCAGGACAGAGGGAGCAGGGGACATGTGGGACAGGTGATGGCCAACAGCATGCCACCCTTCAGCCAGTCTGCAGCCAGCTCCTGCCATGTGTGTCCCTCCCCAACTGGCCCCATGTCCTCCCAGGGCTGGGACCCAAGCTCCGCGCCTCAGTGTCCAACAGGAAGGTGGGGGGAGTCACCAAGTAGCCCAGCAAGGTCGTATGCTTTCTTCTGCTCAATGGCCTCATAGTTGAGCGCCTCGAAGAAGATGTCCAGCACCAGAAAGTTCTCCCTGTGGGGACACCATAGTGCTCAGCAAGGAAGGCTGGTCACTGACCCTCCCACCACTACTCCCACTAAACCTCCCCTGTCCCCCAGCCCTCCAGCTCCCAGGCTCCCACGGCCCTCTTGAGTTATTCAGGCTGGTGCGGTGGGGACATGGATGGGGCACGTCCCAGGCGAGGAGGGACCATGGGGTGGGGAGATGCCGGCAGCAGGGCTGGGAGGACATGGATGGGTCGGAGAGATGCTCTAGTGGCAGCCACCCCTGGGCAGAGGAAGCTGCAGGGACTGTGCATACCAGGACCCACTCCCCACACATTGCCAGGAGTGTAATGGGGGTTCCCCAGGTCCCCAGTCCCCTGCCCACGCCCCTGGCACACCCCAGCACCAACAACTCACCGGATGTAGGTCTCATTCTTGTTGTACTTGCGGGCGAGGTAGCGCGCCGAGCCCTTGTTGGGGATGCGCACCATGGAGATCTCCTTGCCATAGCGCGTCAGGTTGCACGGCGTGGGGCAGCTGCAGCGCTCCTGGCTGTCCTCCACCGCTGCGTCTGGGGGCA